TTATTATCTTTTTGAGAGACTAAATAAAAAGCACATTTTCCTTTTTTAGATTGTTTTTTTTCAATCTCTCCTCAATTGAGGACTAAGGGGCAAGTAGGGTTAGAACAAGTTAAATGAGAGATGCCGATAAAGCAGTTGTGTAAGTATTCTAGTTGGGTGGCTTTTCAGAGGTCTTTGGGGGTGATTTTAGTCATGGTGATTTATTTTTGGAGTTATTCTACTCCTCATTTCATTTGCTTTTTTAATTTCCGTAAGTTAGCAGTTAATTGTTTAACTTTACTATTGCCCATTCCTGACTTATTAATTTCTAATAAATCAGTTGCTAATCCGACCATTTCTTCCACTATCTCTTGTCCTTGTTGGGAAGTTTGTTGAATAGCAGTTAAAGTTTGGTCAGTAATGGTTTGTTCGTGAGTTAATTCTTGGTAATCTTGCTCTTTTTGGGCTAATTCTTTTTTTAAATCTTTAATTTTCTGCTTCCATTCCTTTTGTTTAGTTTGTCAGTAGTTTTCCCTGGCTTGCTGTTTTTGCTGTTCTTCAACAATAATTTGGTCTCGGCTAACTAAATATTGCTTAACAGTTTCTATTTCGGTTTGAGTTTGGATTAATTCTTCGGTTAAATTATCTTTTTTAGTGGTTAATTCTTCAATATTTTTCCCTTGCTCTTGAACTTTTTCCTCTAATTCTAGATATTCAAGAGCCTGAGGGTTAATCGTAGTTAATAATTTCTCCCGTTCGGTTCAGTGGTGGGTTAAGGATTTAATCTTTTGCCGTAATTGTTGCTCAATCCAGTTCATAACTCATAACTATTTTGAAACCAAAGCCACAGCATTTACAAAGGGGATAACTCCACCCACTACCGTAGCATGATAACCAAATTTAGTCGAGCCAGAACCAAAGACTTGTTCAGTAGTTATGCCCTCTTCATTAATGATGGTATAAGCAAAGGAGTTTTCATCCCGAATAATTATTTTAACTTTATTTTCTAATTTCCGTTCAATCACTTCCTTTTCTTGGCAGTATTTATGAATAATTCCTTCCCAAGCTTTTAAGCAGTTAGTAGAGCAATTGGTTAAATCTTTTCGACTTAAATGAGTTTCTAAAAGAGTGTAAGTAGAGGAGCAAGTCGGGCAATTATGACGGAGTTTTCTTTCTAGTTTCTTAATTCTCTTCATGATTTTCTAATATCTCTCAATCTAATAACCGAAAAATTTGCCCTGCTCCTGGTTTTCTTTGGACTTTAAATAGGTATCTTTTATCTAAATATTTTCTCTGCTCAATTTCCTCCCAAATAGTTTTCTTTTCTAAAAAATCTTTAAAAACTAATAGTTCCTTTATTTCCTCGTTTTCGATGTTTACTGCCAGCCGTCAATACTGATTACCAAAATGTTCTGATTTCTTATTTCGAACTTGGTCTAATTTCCTATCCCGAATAATTCCAATTAATTCTTTATGATTGGACATAGGTTAATATTTCTTGGTTGGCTACTTGGTTGAGGAGTTGATAGGAATAGGCTGTAAAGGAAAGTCTAGATTTATCACTTTTGGAATAATGACCTTGGACTTCTAGATAAGAATATTTGGGGATTTTTGGTTTAATTCAACGGTTATTTTCTTTAATTCGGAAGATTACTGGGACATCTTGCTCTTGGCTGTCTGCTTTTAGAAAACAGTAAGCAGGGGTATCCGATAATTTTTCCCTAGTTCGGACTTGGGAGGTGGTGATACCTCGTAAAGTTATTAATTCTCTCTTTTGGATGTCAAGGTGAGAGAGATTAACCCCGTTATTTTTTACTTGACTTTCTGTCATATGT